GATCCTGTCTGAATTTTCCTGGACGAGAAAAAACAGCTGCAGGGGAAAGGCCGGAATAAGGGTCTACGTGGTTTGTATTCTTGCACATGGAACGTGACCACCTGTGCGTACATTTGTGGTCACGTGGACTTTTTTCCCCTCCCGCAGTTGAAGAAACGTGTTTCGACAAATACACTGGATCTACCCATCGGGTCGGGGAGACTTATGAGCGCCCCAAGGACTCCATGATCTGGGATTGTACCTGCATCGGGGCTGGCCGGGGGAGGATAGCCACGGTTGCGTGGCCGAAGCCACTGCTTTTTGGGGTGTGTGGGGGTGGGGGGTTGGTAGGAGGCAGGCATGTTTTCCAGAGCAATTGACAGCCCCGAATGCAATGCTGATCGGCTTATTCCTTAGGAGCATGGGGACTGGTGCTAAGCCCGGTGAAGTCAATCGGAGTCTTTCCATTGAAAAGCTCATTCTCTTCACATGAGCAGCCCCAGAGGAGTCAGTGGAATTGTTAGACTGGTTCACACGAGCCCGGGTTAGGCCTGTAATCTCAATGCAAATATTCCAGTGGATGCTGGGTTAAAGGCAGGGCTTTAAGCATGGTCGTGCCCTGCTTATCGGACTTAGTACGTCAGCAGCTGTGTGCGTCTTACGGAGGTGCATTAGATCTGGATGGCAACCCTAAAGCTGCAAAGGTCAGCTTCTCAGCTGGTGACAGTTGGCATTGCTTCAAGGAGTTCAATAGATCGGTGCTGATTTACACCTGCGATTTGCCCCGCAGTGTGACCTCCTTAGTGATCCACTCTGTGGGTCTGTGCTGGCGATTCGGGGGGCCCCGCTGTGATCTCTCGGATCATTGGTGGACAGTCTGCGGCCAGAGGGCTGCATGCGGCTCATCGAGGTTCTAGGTGTGGAACGCGAGACGTTGCTTGCCGTTGCCCACACTCGGGTTTAGATTCTGCGGGTTTCTGCCTGCGGAGGTTTTTCCTCCCAGTGCTAATAGTGACACACATGTAAAGCCAGGGCACGTGAAGGGAGGTGGGTGTGGCTGGCACACAGCACGGACTGAGAGCCAGGTGCTCCCTCTGCAGCTAATCAACGTGCTGCTCCGGGTCAATTGGCACCGCCCTCAAACTGTAGAGATGCAAGTACAATTGGCAAAACTCCCCTATCCTAGCAGACCAGCGTGGTTCCAACAATCTTGCAGCCCGCGGACGCGGAGGGCCACGCAGGGTGACCCACTCACTAGCCACGGTTGCCCGTCCTGAATCCCCCTCCGTTCTTCTCCGTCTTCCACTTTGTTGCCTCCCTATCTGGAATGCCTTTCCTTGGAGTGGCTGGGTGCTTTGTGTCCCCTCAGCCACTTCTCTTTAGCTCCGGGATAGACTCGCAGCCTGCAGACAGCCTGTGGCCGTAGATGAAGAGGACTTTGTTGGTACATTTGGGCTTAGCTAGCCCAGTCACTACACAGTCTTTGAGAATTAGTGTATTGCATCTTTGATACCGTAGCGGGCTGGGTTTGGTTTGCAGTTTGTTTGCGGTACGCAGTGCTGCGTACTTCCCATACGATGTCAGACATGGACCCTCCGTATCCAAAGGAAGGAAATAGCTCTGCCGTGAATTCCATGTAGCCACACAGGGCAGGGTCAGAATCTGTAATTTTACAGTTCAAAATGTGAAATGACTCTTCTCATCAGAGTCGATCCAAAGCCAACGCAAGTCAGTAGGAAGGCTCCTCTGGCCACGCTTCACTCTGACTCCTGCTGCATGTCACTGCTGCTGCTCAAATTGTTTGCTCAGTTTAGGAATTAGACCTAGGTCAGGTGCCTCTGAATCTCAATCAGAGCTCTATTCTTCTCCGTTCAGACTCAGCTCTTGCACTTCTCGCATTTGCTGTTCTTTCGGCAAATGGATCTGTGCTTGCTAGTGGGATATGAATGTATTTATTACAAATCCACCTGGTCATTATGCTCTCATGCAGGTCTTTGAGTTGGCCCACACTTTGACAGTACTTTGAGTTTTAAAAGTAAGGTGGTTGAATATCTTAATATCGTCCATAAGGTCCTGACCCATCAGATCTTGATCTGGAAAATCTGGCTGCTGCTTTTGGGTCTCCTGGTTGGAGGCAATTCAACAGGCTTAAGCTGAACTAGTCAAACATTTTAGTTTTTTAAGTTGTGAACAATCATTTATTTGCATTTTAAAACTTTTGTGGGAGTGTCTAATGAAAGTTTTGTTTTGATCTGACCCCAAAGTTTTCATTTCAGTTCAACGTGAGAAGTTTTTTTGGTGTGATTTTTTTTTTTAACTGAAAATAAAAAATAATTGAGCCAAAATGAAATTGAAAAAATTGAATTTTTTTTACTTTAGAAATGTCCCATAAAAATCTATAAAATATGTTTTCTGGAAAAACAAAGTGTTTTGGATGAAACCAAGTCTCACCTGAGTTCTGTTGGTGACTGACAGAAACTCTAAAAAGTGTCCATAACTCTCTTTTATTTGGAACTCATTCTTGATGTTCCAGAAAGTGCCTGCCTGTCAGCCAATTGGAACGAGGGTGGTCTAGCCTAGGGGTTAGAAAGGGTGTCAGGACAAGAGGTCACAGCAGTCATCAGCCCCCAAGGAGTAGGAGCCGAGCTGAAGTCAGCAGCCAAAGCCGAGTGTCAAACTGGGGGGCAGGAACTGATCCCACAGCTGGGGGTCAGCGAGGGTCAATAGTCAGGAACCAAAGGCCTGGTCAAACCAGTTGTCAGGAATTTGAGCAAGCAGGGTAGGCGGCAAGGAGGGGTTCAAGTCAGAGGTCCAGGATGAGGCATGAGTAGCAACGGGTGGGCATGAGCATCAAGCAAGCAGTAAGCTACTGCTGCTGGTTGAAGAACCCACTGGCGTCTGCAGCCAATCGGGTGGCCCAAAGCAGGACACCTGTACTGATGAGGCTGCCTGGAGATAATCTTTGCTGCAGGCTCTGATTTCCTGACACTGATTCATTCCCTCCTGGGATTTATCGTCGCTAAAAGCTCATCTCCCATTGCCTGCAGAGGATGCTTAAGTAGCAGGGGATTGGACTCTTTTGCCATTCTGCAGTGATTATCTACAGACCTAGTTCTCAGCCGAATGCTGACTGACATGTTCTGTTTGCCACAGACCGGTGCCACGAGGGCGGCCAGTCCTACAAGATTGGCGACACCTGGCGCAGACCTCACGAGACAGGGGGTTACATGCTCGAATGCGTGTGTCTGGGCAACGGAAAAGGGGAGTGGACCTGCAAGCCTGTAGGTATGTAAAGGTGTTGACACGGTTCTTCGAGAGGCCAGGCTTCACCAAGCTTGTTCTAGAACCCAATATTAAAACAAGGGATTCTAATTGGAACATATTCACGGCTTTATCCTGCTCTAATTGAGCCTGGGGCATTGGCAGTGTCTACAACCTTTTACTGTCCCGGCAGCCTCCTCCCATCTATCAATATGGCGAGGCTTGGGAGGTTATGACCCCCGACGTCGGCTTGGGGCATTGTCATCCCCAGAACGAGGGGCTGGGTTTTTTTTTTTTTTGGAAATACTTTGCGAGAACTCATCTTTTCTTCCTCCCTGCAGCTGAGAGGTGCTATGACAACACGGCTGGCACATCCTATGTTGTCGGAGAGACCTGGGAGAAGCCCTACCAAGGGTGGATGATGGTGGATTGCACTTGCTTAGGCGAAGGCAGCGGGCGAATCACCTGTACCTCTCGCAGTAGGTATCAGTAACGCTATGCAGAATGGCGCGTGAACTCCATTCATCTGGGGCTCTAAAATGCTGGCTTTTCTTATCCCTCCTTCGGGGCCCAGAATGCACAAGCTAAGACAAAAAAAGAGCAGTCCTGTGGTACCTTACAGACTAACAGATATATATTATCACCAGGTTTCGTGGGTCTACCCCACTTCATCAGATGTGTATTGTCTAACTTGGAACACATCTGATGAAGTGGGTTATACCCACAAAAGTTCAGGATAATATATATATATTTGTTAGTCTTTAAGGTGCCACAGGACTACTTGTTTTGTTTTTAAAGTTAGACTAACACGGCAACCACCTCAGACTTTTTAATGAGCTAAGACACTAAGTGTATGTCTAGACTACATCCCTCTGTCGCCAGAAGGATGTAAATTAGACATACCGGCATTGCAAATGAAGCGGGGACTTAAATCTCCCACGCTTCCGTTGCATAAAAATGGCCGCCGTGTTTTGCCGAGTCAGCAATGTCGGTATGTCTAATTTACATCCCTCTGGCGACAGAGGGATGTAGTCTAGACATTTCCTTTTCCTTTGTCTTAGGGTGACACCCTTCAAGGGTGTGGTGTGCTTGATCTTGCAGAGGGAAGTGGGTGTAACACTGGACTGCACCAAAACCAATTGTATGGGTCAAACACTAACACAGGAATAGGTCACAAGCAAAAATTTGCAAATGGCTTTTGCCATCTCCTGTTCTGGAATTCCACGCCCTTTGTGGGTACACTATGGAGTTTTCTCTGTGCAAGTCCATGTTGTGCTTTTGGGAAATATAGATATGAGCTAAAGGGTGATCTAACGGACTAAACTAAACACTTATTTACACTCTCTATATATGCTCCAGCCAAGTTTGGCTTAGAATTGCCTTGCCCCTCCACTCCTCAGGGGGAGAGAAGATGCTTTTAAAAGGAAAGTGTCATTTGGTTGATCTTTCTCGACATTCTGGCATTACTAACTAATCCAAAAATTCCAGTAGAGCTCTAAAAATGCAGGGTTTGTCTGTTCAGTTTAACATAATCTAGTACATCTGTAAGGCAAAACAATGATTATTTAGTCTAATTCCTTAGCCACACTGAGGCTTTAGGCAATGGTGTGAACCTTAAGTGTAAATACTTTGCAGCTGTGCAAAGTTCTCGTCACACAAGCGCATCCCTTTTTATACTCGTTTTGTACCCGTGCAACTGCATTGTTACAAAATACCCCAATACATAGGCCTGTAAAATGTAGATAGAGCCTTTATAAATGACTTCTGCTTCTTGCCTTCTCTTCTATGTACTATAAGATGAACTACTTTGTGCAGCTACAATGGTTTGTACATCTGCTCCAAAGTAATTTGACCGAGTCTCTTATACCTTTGTCATGTGGGTTTTGAGATCTTCCTCTGTAGTCTTTAATGACCTCTTGCCCAGTTGCCTTGGACAAAAGCTAATATCTTTTCACTAATATAAACAATAGAACCGCAAAGAACTAAAATCCACAGAGGTTTGGGATTAAAGTTGAAGTGCTGGAGAGCAGTAGTCCAGTAATAAGCTATAAAACAAAACCAGTCTTGACAATTTCAGCTCTATTTTTATTGATTTATAACATTGAAGCTTGCACAAAACATGTTCTCTCTTTATCCTTTCCCATTTGACACTTAATTATTTTCCCCCTACTTGCTTTCAAAACAATTTGGCAGTGTCTTCGTTCCACAGTCTACTGGAGGACCTTATAGGTCAGGGCTACTCAACTTTGGAAGCCCTGGGGGCCACAACGATACAGCACGTGACGAGGGCTGCAACTTAAGGGTGGCTGCTTATATATGCAAATAGCTCCTTTCACACTGACAGGCATGAATACAAAGATTAAGGCAAGACACACAGACCCCATTTAAGTCAGTTCTGCTGATATTAATAAAATGCAATATTTACCCAATTTCCACCCATATGACAGCACTTTTAATGAGCAATGACAGTCCAGGAATTTAACTATTAAAACGTGTATCAAGAGAAGACCGTTATATTGACTACTCTTGTTTTGGCTTCCACCCGCAGGCTGCATGTTGAGCCCTGCGTAAACTCAAACTGCACTGCGAACAAACGGGCCGTGGACCACATGCAGCCCACTGGCCACATGTTGAGTAGCCCTGTTATAGGAAAAGGCAACATTCATTTTTTTTTCCGATAGTGGATTTTGTTTCCAAAATACAATCCCGTATATACATATATTACCTACATATACAATGATCGTTATGGCCCACATAGTAGGAGTACTGATGTGTGGGTAAAACAGAAGTATTATGGCCAAGATTTTCCAAAGTAACTGATGATTTGGAGTACCTAAATTCTTGGGTGCCCATTCTGAAAAACCCGGTCTTCAGAGAATAAGTCTCCATCTATTCATATCCATATAAATACATTATCAGCCCTTTAGCAACTTACCTTTTTCTTGACAAATACACAGCGCTGTGTTTCTTATCCACTGTGATTTGTTAATGTGTTTTCCACATGTTGGTGTTTGACCCAATGTACTCTAACTTAATAACAATTGGAAGTAATGTGTACCTCATTTCCCAGTTGCTCATCTTGTATAGGGGAGCGTTTTTGACCCATGATTAAATGTGAGTCATTGTACTGAGTTGCGTGTGCGGGTAAAATGTCATGGAAGAAGAATGAATTAATCCATGTGGCTCTGCATGCAGCTAGAAGTAGTTTATTAAGATATCGTTTGAGCCTATTTCCTCAATTCATCAAAGACAAGATTCCCAGACACACATATGCAACTTCCATTAATTGTAATAGCAGTTGCTTGCATCTTTCTGATGAAGAATTTGACCCACAGGCATCGTCCATCAAAGAGGATTTAGTTGCTTCCATGTGAAATAGGCTCATGAGATTCAACCGGGCTCTGCCTCTAGCATGCAGTGGCCACGCTAAGAAACCATTTAGAATGAAACAACATTAAAACTGGTTTCAACTTAGCAGGTTTTCCCCACAATGTGGACAAGGCACAAGGTGCTTAAAATGGTTGTGAAAACTATTAGCAAGAATAGGCAGTGACTCCTGAGTGGATATCCTACTCTGCCTTGCCTCCATTGGGAGCAAAATGGTGGTAGCTGAAGCCATGGTTAAAATCCATCGGTGAAATCTTTTCCTATTGAAATCAATGGAAGTTTGGCCACTATTTTAGAATGTCATGCCTTTCTGTAATACAATCGGCTTAAAGCATATGGCTGCCTGTGGAGGGGCGATGGAACTTGGTGGGAAACGAACCGCTCGGTGAAACATTAGTGGTGAAAGATCAGCGAAGGACCGTCTGAGCTTTTGTGATTGGCATGCTGCTAAATACGTGGAAAGCTAAGCCTTGCTCCCTTTGTTATAACTCTTTCTTTTCTTCTGCAGATCGGTGCAATGATCAGGACACCACGACTTCGTACAGAATTGGAGATACCTGGAGCAAGAAGGATAACCGAGGAAACCTGCTTCAGTGCATCTGCACCGGCAACGGCAGAGGCGAGTGGAAATGTGAGAGGCACTCAGCTGTGCAAACCACTGGCATTGGTAAGTGGTAAATCTCCGTGCCACGGAGCCTTAAGTAGCACAGGACACCCGTGGTCATCTCTTGGGCCTGAACAAATGACAGAATTCATGGATGCCGAGTTCGCATGCCCAAAAGGGGCCTGCACATGCAGCGTAGACAACTTTGCAATTTTGTGGCATGTTTGAATGTGCATGTGGCCACAAATCTGATGATGTTCAACAAGGACAAGTGCAGAGTCCTGCACTTGGGACAGAAGCACTGTTACAGACTAGGGACCGACCAGCTAAGTAGTAGTTCTGCAGAAAAGGACCTGGGGGTTACTGTGGATGAGAAACTGGATATGAGTCAACAGGGCGCCCTTGTAGCCAGGAAGGCTAATGGCATATTAGGTTGCATTAGGAGGAGCATTGCCAGCAGATCCAGAGATTTCATCATTCCCCTTTATTCGGCTCTGGTGAGGCCACATCTGGAGTATTGTGTCCAGTTCTGGACCCCCCACTACAAAAAGGATGTGGCCACATTGGAGAGAGTCCAGCGGCGGGCAACCAAATGATTAGGGGGCTGGAGCATATGACTTATGAGGAGAGGCTGAGGGACTTGGGTCTGTTTAGTCTGCAGAAGAGAAGAGTGAGGGGGGATTTGATAGCAGCCTTCAACTTCCTGAAAGGAGGTTCCAAAGAGGATGGAGAGAGGCTGTTCTCAGGAGGGACAGATGGCAGAACAAGAAGCAATGGGCTCAAGTTGCGGTGGGAGAGGTCTAGGTTGGATATTAGGAAAACTATTTCACTAGGAGAGCGGTGAAGCACTGGAATGGGTTCCCTAGGGATGGAGAGGGGTTTAAGTCTCGGCTTGACAAAGCCCTGGCTGGGGTGATTTAGTTGGGATTGGTCCTGCCGAGAGCAGGGGGCTGGACTTGATGACCTTCTGAGGTCTCTTCCAGCTCTATGGTTCTATGATTCTATGTGCTGATGTATGGACCCATAAATAGAGGCTATATTTTAAAAACGTGGTACTTCAGGCCGATAGTTTTGAAATCAATAGGCTTTCTACCGGATGACTGACTTTAAATGTTTTACGTTTAAACTTGAAGCACTCATGGATGTCAGAAGTTAACTGTTCTTCAAGCTTGAATATGTAGAAATGTCAATAATGCTCTTGCATATTAAGTGAATTGCATTTATGTATCGGATCCTTTGTGATTTTTGGTATGGGACTTATTTCGTGTCCTCTGTCCTAAATGTATAATAAAATATTCTGCTTCTACTGTCTGTCTTAATATAGGTAGGGTTTTCTGGTCACTTTAAGGATCTATTTCTGCCTTTACTGTGTAAATTAACCTTTTCCCGGGGGTGGGCACACTAGGTTTTTGTTACTAATTGCTACTCTTGCCATCACCAATTCAGCTCCAGGATGAGAATGCTAATAGAGACAGAGCTCCTGGAAACTTCAAGTACTTCAAAAGCAGAGCTCTCAGCCTGGCCTAAGCCACTCAATGCTTAAAACTCCAGTGGTTTCAATACCTTGCCAGTACTTTTGCTCCCAAATGGCTGTTGCCAGTGAAGCTAAACAGGGTGGTAGGAAAAGTGGAAAGTGTAACATTTCCTTCTGAACCAGGGGCTTGTGTGTCTCGTTGCATATTACTTTTAACTGGAGCTGGTTGAAAAATGTCCCTTGAGTGTTTTTTTGCTGGAACATTTTTGTCTCCCAAAATACTTTTAGTGAAAAATCCTGTTTCTTTCAATATGTTCCAGGGTTTTTTTTGATAAACCAGGGAGGAAACATTCCCAAATCTCATTTTCCAGTTTGGGACTCTTTCCTTCGCCTTTCCCATTTTCAGTGTTTGGTTTTCATTCAAAAAAGCAAAACCTGTTCATAGGAAACTTAAAAAAAACACCTTAAAATTTTTGTGTCCTCCCTTTTTTGAAATGTTTTCCTGTGGGGCGGGGGAGACGGGCATTTTTGACCGGCTCTATTCACCGTTCTTGGTGGTGCCATCGCTGTTGCGGGAGGATTATTCGCACGGACAGAGGGGTTTTTAATGTTGAAATTTACTAATTGAAGAGCACGCAAATGTTGCGAAAATGGAAAGTGATTCAATATCTTAAGACGACGATGTCTAAAAGTTAACTGGGTTACAACTTTTCACTGACTTTCCCACTGAAAAGGGCTTAGTACGGCCACATCCCAGCATTTGACCTAGATTTTCTTTTTCCCCTTATTTCTGCCGCAGGATCCGGATCCCCGACCTTCACAGATGTACGAACAGCACTTTACCAGCCCCAGCCTCAGCCCCCGCCCTACGGCCACTGTGTCACCGACAGCGGGGTGGTGTACTCCATTGGCATGAAGTGGCTGAAGACGCAGGGCAGCCAGCAAATGCTTTGCACTTGCCTGGGCAATGGAGTCAGTTGCCAGGAGACAGGTTGGAGTGTTTTGTTGGATGTTCACCCCCTAGACAAAGCAAAACCCCAGGGCTGCAAAGCCCCAGTGTGCAAGCGTGGGGCTTTGTGGGAGTCGTCCCATGGAATCCTAGAACACTAGAACTGGAAGGGACCTCATGAGGTCATCAAGTCCAGTCCCCTGCCCTCACGGCAGGACCCAGTACCATCTAGACCATCCCTGGTAGATGTCTGTCTAACCTGCTCTTAAATATCTCAGTGATGGAGATTCCACAACCTCCCTAGGCAGCTTGTTCCAGTAGTTAACTATGGAAGCCCATGCTTAAATGCTTTGTTGGATTGTGCCCAACGTGTAAGAGAATGAGCGTTAGTGCAGCCTTTGCACTCAGGTCTCAATACAAAGCTGATTGAAGCCCGTGCAAAGAATCTCATGGACTTCACCAAATCAGGCACTAAGGCCTGGCCTACACTAAAAGGGAAAGTCGACATAAGATACATAGATCCAGCATGTTAATTACATAGTGGGAGACGAGTTGTCTTAAATCATTTTTCATGTTGTCCCCACAGCAGGAGGTTGAGGGGAGCACATGCTCCCGTCAACTTCCCTTCCTCCTCTGGAGGAGCAGGACTACCGGTGCTGACGGAGGCGCCCTCTCAGTCCGAATTTGCGGATGTTCACTAGATTGGTTCATTCAAACCCTAGAAGATCGACTGCGTTAGCATAGATCTTCCATGTAGTGTAGACAGACCCTGTGAGAATTCAGCTGTTTTCACTTGTTGTGAATCCTAGTTTCTGTAGACATGAAGACATACTCTTCTAGGCCGACACTTACAAAGTGCATTCATGATGACCCCAACCTACCCTGAGGAGAGAGGAAACCCTTTGGGGGATTTTTGTCACTCACTAGAAATTAGGATCTTGGGGGGAAAGTTCAGAATTCCCTTCTTATAGAGTATGCGGGAAGAGGAACAGATTGGAGAAGGAAACAGTCAACATTTCTTCCTGGTCTTATTTGGGGCCTCGATCTAAAGGACAGAAGTAGCTCCCGTTGAGTTCCATATGTTCAGAGAATGAAGCCATGGGAAACAGAATTAGTAACTTTATTCAAACAAAGTGGCAGCCATAGTGTTTTGGAGGAGGATAGAGATTGAATGGCAATATTGTTAGGCTAGATCCTTGGCTAGTATAAATTGGCCTGGGATAACTGAAGTTGGTGCTGTTTACGTTGGCTGAGAATTTGGCCCAGGGAAGCTAGTGACAAAACTGGAGTGAGGACTCCAAGTTGTAACGTCGTGTTGTGCTTCGCTTGTTTTAAAGCGGTGACCCAAACCTATGGGGGCAATTCCAATGGGGAACCATGTGTTCTGCCGTTCACCTATGGAGGGAGGACCTTCTATTCGTGTACCACCGAAGGGCGCTCAGACGGACACTTGTGGTGCAGCACAACCTCCAACTTCGAACAGGACAACAAATACTCCTTTTGCACGGAACAGAATGGTAAGCACCTCTGGGGAAATGTTGGAAAAACAGGTGGAATGTCCAGTCTCTGGAGAGAGTGAATATACATCTATAGGCCGGATCCTTAGCCGGTCTACATTGGCATGTCATGGGCACTACCGCCACATCCCAGAGTTGTGAGTTTAATGTTTGTAGGATGCAGAGAAGATTCACAAGAACCTTCATATTCACAAGAACCCTCCTTTTGCCCTTCGGACGGTTTTCTTTAGCTAGCTAGAGAGGGTCTCTCCCATACAACGCTGCAAGAAAAGAGCCCAGATCAGCTTTTTTTAAGTTTCCCTACCTGACCTTACAAACAGAGCTGTTAGCCAGAGTATAGCCTTTGATCCAAGGGACGTTAGACTGTTCTTGGCTGGTTGAATTTCAACCCATCGGACAAGAGCCTTGGTCCATATAAGGCCATGAGAGGAGGACATTTACTTTGATCCTCGGATGCCACTCTTTCAGTTCTGACTCACCTGTCAGATTGCCTTAGGTAGCAGTAACCCTAATCTGCCACTGGGAAAGGGTATTTTACATCAACATGTGGGCAAAGGTCCTTTTAGCAGCGTCTCCCAGGAAGGCCATGGCCTTTCTATAAGACAGCAGCCAGACAGGTGAATTTCTGCTGGATCAGTGCCTAAGTGGAGCGCAGCTGAAGTTACTCATATTGGTAGATTTAGTAAAGTGGTGAAATACTACTCAAATCCATCCTTGAGCAGCGTTTCATTCGCATGGGATTCCTCTAGTCCCTTCCAGTGCAAATCTCAATCCCTTTCCATCAAGTCCCATGTATTCTACTTGAAGAGGATGGGTGGAATTCATCTGCTCTCGATGGCATCGGTGATAGGTTTCTAAGAGGCGCTTTTTTGCTCCACTATGGGGCACGGACATCTCAACAGAGGGGGCCGTGAGCAAAGGCTTCAAGCTTCCTGGCTCGTTGTACGTTGTTGAGCTGTAACGGTTTCCAAAGGACGGAGGGTTTGTTTAAAGTCACTGGGCACGTTCAACTCTCAGTAAAATCCATCCAGCCCCATGTATATTCCGTGGGGTTGTACGGGTGTCCTAGAACGGAGAGAATAGCTGAGTCACTGGGACATCTCCCTGCCCCTTTTCCTGGTTGTTCCTGGCCGTGCTTTTGCTGCAAAGAAATGCTGAAGCAGATGGATCAGGATGTCTGATTCTCCCCACCAGGAGGATCTGTGGGCATGGAGGAGCTCCCATTCCAGTGCCTTCCCTGGTGCACAGAGCCCATGAGGGTTTTTTCTACACCTCAGCAATTTCCATGGGCAGGTCCACATCTGTTATGGGAGATTCCTTCTGGTCGGGCAGCTCCTTTGAGTGGGGACCAGCCTGTCACAGGCGTTCTATGTACGTGATGAAATTAGTCTCCCTTAGAAAAGCGCTAAGGGTACTCTGAGGGGCACATGTGACAGGCATGTCCCTGCTGTGTTCTGCAACAGCTCCCGGCTCTTTCAAGGAGAATGCCGGCTCCCATACACCTCTGCTTTACTTCTCCGGCTTTTTGCAGTTCTGGTCCAGACCCGGGGTGGCAACTCCAATGGTGCCTTGTGCCACTTCCCCTTCCTGTATAACAATCGCAACTACACCGACTGCACGTCAGAGGGACGGAGAGACAACATGAAGTGGTGCGGCACCACCCAGAACTATGACGCTGACCAGAAGTTTGGCTTCTGCCCTATGGCTGGTGAGTTGTGGGGGCCGGGGCTGGGTGGGGAGAGCTCTGGCTGGTCTCTGTCCAAGACCGGTGGTTCTCAGCCGAACGGCAATTGAGATGTAGCGCCTCCTTCCAGCGTCTGCTGAGCTGCACCCGTCACCAGTGAACCTTCCGCCATTAGTGGCCTCCAGGTAGCTGTTGGCCAATTCACTGTTCTTGTCAGCCTTCTAAAGGGGTTTTTGAGTAGTGACTTTATTTGTAGGATCAAAGTACTTTACTCTGCCCATTTGCATAGCCACCCATAACTGCCCATGCAGCAAAGCCGAGGGCATCGCACCCAGCTTGCCTCGTTAGAGACGAACAGATTTGGAGGCAGAGAGACCTAATCTGGAGTGAGTAAACGAATGTCGAGGCCTTGCATTTGGAGAACATCAGCACACAGTGAAAGTGGGATTTGAACCTCTAGTAGGGCCATAACCTCCCCCATTAGGCCATAGAACCCATAGCAGAGTGGGAAGGTGCCAAGCGGATTATTTGACTATTGGTGTTCATGGCAACGGTTGCTAAGTAAACCCCTCACACTCCTCAAACAGCCCATGAGGAAATCTGCACAACCAACGAAGGCGTCATGTACCGTGTGGGAGACCATTGGGACAAGCAGCACGACATGGGCCACATGATGAAATGCACGTGTGTCGGCAATGGCCGCGGCGAATGGACCTGCATTGCCTACTCCCAGCTCAGAGGTAGGTATCTTCAGGACCTTGGTGCCTCCATGGTCCAATTCTTCATTGGAGACCAAAGGATTCATTCCGCTGACATCACTGAGTGTCCAAGCAGGCCCCCGAAATAATTCTACATCCTTAGGTCTCGCTTGTGGAGAACGGGGAGGAATATTTGCTCAGAAATCTAGATGTTTACATTCAAGAATAGTGCCAATCCAGCACTTGCTGGGGATGAGAGGGAGTCCAGGTAAACCTCGGTTAGCTCGGTCAGTGCACATTCCCTTGTTGACATTTAAAAGTCAACACCTTCACAACTTTGATTGCTGATTTGGAACGATTCTCCTGTGCAGATAAAACCCCAGTCTAGTCTGAAGCTGGAAGGCCAGGTTAATGGGCCGTGCTGTCCTGTTTTGCTGTTCGGCAGTGAGGTTTTTAATTCCCCGGTGTGGGATGAATTCCCTTTGCAGGCTAATCAGTATGAAAAGTCGGCAGGGCAGTACTGAGGTTTCTTTTCAGCGGGGAAGTGCTTAGACAGCACCCAAAAAGAGGACTTCAAAGAGGAGAGCGTAGACATTGGATCATCTGAAAGCTACTTACTGTGCTGGCGTTGTGTCTGGAAAAAGCCGAGTGGGTGCTGTCAGAGCCAAGAAAGGATGCTTGCCCCATGACTGAAATTTGATATAGTTTATACGGAAAGAGGCTCTCAAGGGCTTTGAGGTTTTCCATGCGTCTTGGGCAGGAAGGCGAGAGGTGCACAGCTAAAGGATCTGCTGCTCTAACTCGGCTTCTGTGGCCAATGCTCTGCATTTCCCAAGGATGGGTCTGGTGGGGGGTGGGGGGAAGAGGAAGCAGCAAGTGAGAGGAAACCGTTTAAAGCAACATCTGCTGCAAAGAGCAAAGTCGCCTCATCAGGGAAAGTTTTCCTTTTTAAAGGGTGTGGTTCTCTCTGCAGAGCTGTTAGACTGCAGCTGTCTGGGAAACCTCCCCAGCCCTTACTGAAGGGTGCAGCACAGATGAAATGACCCGGAATTGGAGGCAGGTCTTTGGAGGCAGCCTCCATGTCTTATCCATTAACAAGCCACATTGGTAGAGGCTGCATGCTTCACAAAGCAGCTCCCTTCTCCAGGGGGTTTCGGGAGTGCTTGTGTTCTGACACTTGCTTTCATTGACCAGATGGCTGGAAGGGTGAAAGGTTGGGGCCAAGTCCCCAAAGGGTATAAATTACCATAGCTCTAAATCGAGTGGGGGATGTGACCCCGCACAGCAGTGAATTAGTGGAGACTAGTCAGAAGTTGGATGTATGATCCATCAGTTCTTCTCTTGGGGTTACAACAAAGTGGTGTCAAGCTACCCAGCAAAATAAAGAACCAAGAACATTTTGGGCCACCCTGTGATATCTTTACTCACGCTAAATATTTTAATTCCACTGAAATGGGTGCTCAGTACATGTAAGTATATCAGAAGTTAGACCTTGAGAAGCAAACTCAGTGACTTTTTTTCTTTTAAGTCCTTAGAGATGCTGTTTCATATGCTGTAATCAACATGCCATAATCAAGCCCGTTTGAATAAGGCTAAATACTTTGCCCTGGATCCCACAAGCCTTGTTCCTGCAAGTAGTGCTTACTCACACAAAGGCCCCGTCTCTACTTGCCATGCCAGAAATCGCTCTTCGGGCATTTGATTTAGCAAGTCTAGTTAAGACCCACTAAATCGAATGCTGAGGGCACCCCTGTCAGTGCCAGTAAGCCTCGCAGTCACGAGGAGTAAGGGAAGCTGATGGTAGTGTTTGCTTCTGTCAGCCTCCCTCTGTGAAGATGGTGCTGAGCTCGGTTTATGGTACATTGGCTCCAGCTACGTTATTTACATAGCTGGAGTTGCGTACCTTCAGCTGACTTTCCGGGTCTAGTATGGATCTGGCCAAAGAGTCCCATTGATGCATTGTTGACTGGTCAATACAGGGAATTGTAGGGGCTAATCTCACACCTTTGACAGATCCCCAGGGGGCTGCCTCTTTCATACCTGACTAGTTTCTATAGCCCCTCAAGGCAATACATCTCGCTCCACTGTTTGGGATTCTGCTGAGCAGAAGTATTTTGTTGCTTTTTTTTAAATGTGAGTACTCTGTTCTCTTTCAGACCAGTGTATTGTTGATGGCATCACCTATGATGTCAACCAGACATTCCACAAGCGTCATGAAGAAGGACACATGCTCAACTGTACCTGCTTTGGCCAGGGTCGTGGGAGATGGAAATGTGATCCTGTCGGTAGGTTAATTCCCAGCTGCTCCCCTTCACCAAGGTCCGAGTGTAGCTGTGCAATACAAAGGAAAACAGTGATGGGGCAGATGTATGAATTAGGGCCAGATCTTTGGACAAAATCTACTCCTACTCTTACTCGTACAAAACCGGGGTGACTGACTTCAGAGCAGTGCTCTGGATTTACAGTACAGAGGCTCAGCAGAATTTGACCTAACTTGGGTTATCTGGCCTGTCATGGGAGGTGCTGACCACCTCTGCAGGAACCATAGGTAGTGACAATTTTACTCCGTATGCGTCTTCCTGGGAATATCCCTACCCTGTCACTTGCTCTAGATTCAGCAGCTGCCAATGTTTGGGGGTGAAAATGAGCATTTCCAGCTCCCCATTGGATTGAATTCTGACAAAGAAGGTGTTGAGCAAGGACAGACTTCATGCAATCCATAGCTATATGGAGCAAGCAGCAATGCTAAACCCGCGCTTATAAATTGCTCTTTTTCTTCTTCTTGGCTGAAATCTTCTGGTCTCCTAACTGAATGGCAGGGAAGACGCCACCAGCAAATATTATCTTACCATGGGCTAAACTTATTTTATTTGGCTGCCTATTATACGAGGCAGCCAAACAAAAAGAGCAAGCCAATGCTCAGAGTGCATGTGTTAATAGCACTCCAGAGATGAGCTAAAACCATCATAGTTCAGTGCTGGCATGAAGAGATTTCTACATTTCTGACCAAAGATGAACTCTGATCTGATAGGACTTAGTTGTTTGATCTGCGCTTACCAGCCCCAAGAGACCTTTAAAATGTTGTCTTTGGCAACTTTTCAGAAAGCTCGAGTGGCTGAATTCTGCTTTATTTATATTTCTGTCCAGATTTACCAGGGGAGATCAGATAATAGAGTTCTTGCAAACTACTCCTTTTAAAGAAGGAAAGCAATGTTGTTTTTAAATTAGTTAAAAGTATATAGTTAAAGGTGCTGTCCGTTGAATTTTGTCATTGATTTTTCCAAACCTAAGTCCTGTTCTTCCAAAGGGAGCATACAGTTAATTCTCATTTCAATCCATCAGTAAGGCATTGTTTACAGTAAAGCTGCAACGATCCATCTTCCGGAGTTTGATTTAGCAAGACTCGCTAAATCGAACTCAGAGGGCAACCCCATTGGTAGCCGGTACTCCCGCTTGTGCGAGGAGTAAGGGAAGCCAATGGGAGGTGGCCTCCCTCTGTAGGGATGGTGGGGAATCGTGAAACAAGGTATTAACATAGCTGGAGCAGTGTATCTTCATTTGACCTTCCCTATGAGTGTAGACCTGGCCTAAGACTTCTACTGAGCTGGTTTCGGATGTGAGTTACACTCAGTTCTGGGATCAGTGTGTTGAAGTGAATGGTGTTACCTTAGAGTTTACATCTGAGTGTTGCAGTGGGCTTCATGGGAACTAGACTGAGCCTTAAATGAGAGAAGAACAGGTCCAGTGGCTGAAGCAGAACCAGGATCCAAAACAATATCTGCTGAACAGACTCTTGTGGCAGCAAAACTCCCATTGACTCTGGTGGGTGGAAGGACTCTTCTTGAGCATGTTGCCATTGGCCAGAACATACCACACCTGAATTGACACCCTAATATCTGTCTGGCCATTGCAATAGTAAATCAAGGGCTGGATGAGTTTCCATGTACCCTAGTTTTGAAGTTAGACTTCTGTTGCCTCTTTGAGGAACGCTTTCCCTCGTCATCACTCTCCTGTATGCTCACCCAAGGGCTTTGTTTGGTTTTTTGGTCATTTGTCACCCTCTGACATTGACCTCTCCTTGTGTCATGCCATTAGACCAATGCCAGGATTCAGAATCCCGGACCTTTTATCAAATCGGGGATTCGTGGGAGAAGCACGTTCATGGCGTTCGATACCAGTGCTATTGCTACGGCCGGGGAATTGGAGAGTGGCATTGTCAACCTCTGCAGGCCTTTCCGGGTAAGACTCAAAGATTACACACCTTCTTCTGACACACTCTATTTTAGTGGGATGGGATGGGGTTGGCTGCATGAACGGGGCACCGCAGCCTGCTTCCCATTCTGATCGGCATGTCGTTTTGTATCCTTGTCAACATCAAA